GCTCGATTTGCTCATTTCTCCTTTTTACCACTGGCTGTTCCTGCTTCTTTTCTCTCACTCTTTTGCTGTCCGCTATCTGTCAGTGCTGCAGTCACAAATGGCCCTTATTGTGTCGATGTCCTCTTTATTTACTGAAGCCTTTTTTTTATCTTTCTTTCTTTCTTCCTTTTTTCATGGTCCAAAGTCGTTTCCATGCTCTGCGTCACGAAGTAGGCCTAGCTTGCTTTATTTGGTCTCGGTTCCATTACAAGACTTTGTGATCTTTGACCTCCGTGTTCCCGTGCTACAGACAACTGATGTGTCTATGTAGCCTACTTTTCCATTGCTCGCTGCCCGTGAGTGTGCTCACATAGCTGTCAGGCTCACTGGATTGGATGAATTGTTGCTCTCAGTTATTCGTTGGTCTTTCTTTATTCTGGACTATTCCAAATACATAGCAGTGTTTACGTTTCTTTTTCCGGAGATTTTGTTTGTTTGAAAAGGTACCACGCGTGTATTCCAGGTCTTTAATGTCTCTAAATCATCCATGCTTTGCTGTCCTTTGTAAATAGTTTCTGCTTTCATTCCGTGACCTGCAGGATATGTTTTGTCGAGTTTCGTTTACGATTTTCTTAATTTCCCCCTTTCTTTTAGTTTCTTCCCCCCCTTTTTTATTGCACCTTCTGTTTCTTCCTATTTCTAAAGAGGTAATTGGACTTGCGGGTATTATAGTTTGGTCTGGATTCCTATCCAACTGCTGTGACCATGACCTTTGTCCCCGTGTTTTGCCATTTTGATTTGCCAGACGACGTAAACTGCTGGTCGTCTGCATGCCTTTCCATTTCATTTGGCGTTCCCTCGCGTGACGCCCGTGTTCTGTGACGACCCTCTCTTTGTGGGACAGTCAGTCGAGATTACCTGCCTGCCGCCTGTCGTTCTGTGGAGTGTAGACAGGACCCAAGACAAAAAAAAGAGCCTTATATTTGGCGTTGTCCGTTCTTTCTTAATTTAGAGTGTGCACAGACACAAAACGTGGGCTAGTGCAATTAGGTTCTGTTCTTCTTTATACCGCCCGGACAGCACGCGGAGCAGCCAGACTTAAAATCTCTCACGATCTTGTCTTTCTTGGAATAACAACATTACCTCTCTGCATGATGTCCCCAAGGGGGAACTTGTGTAGAGTCTCCATCTTCGAACTGATCTGCCCTGTCTAGTAGGGCGTTGCGCTCCGTCACCAACATCACCACCAGCCTACGACGTTTCTTTTCAGGCATCTTAGTACAGACAAGAATGTGATTAATGCAAGCAATCACGTGACGTGTTCCTGCGATTGTTGAGTGTCTTTTTTTTTTCTTTCTTTTTTTTTTGCCTTTTGACTGTGAAACAAAACATTCAAAATTTCGACTTTTTCACGTCGTCGTTTCGAGGCCAGAGAGAGGCGGTGGAAATCTCTCGATATCTTAGCGACAATCTTAGCTCCCCTAGTTTGGATTACGTTCAGGGAAACTGCAAAGACGTGCGCTGATCATGTTTCCCTTGTGGTGGATTTTTCTAAGTCTGAAGAAATTAAGTAAGTATCGGATTGCCTTATCTTGATTTCTTTTAGAATAAGCAGACACCCCCTGCCTTGCATTCCCGATCCTGTGGGTGGTTGGCGGGTGCTCTGGTGTGGTTTATTCCTTCTTTCCTGTCAAAACATCTACAGTCCTTTTGTCTCTCCTCTTTTTCGTTTATGTTACTCTTGTAACACCTGCAGTCTTCGGCACCTATGTGACCTTATTGTGTTGCTAATGCCGTAAAACTCTTTCTTCTTAAAACTAAACGAAAAAACTATGCATTCCCTTTCTTGTTGTTACTTCGGTAGAGCTGCTGCTTGTATTTGCTTTGAAATGTATTCTGCTCTTTTTCTGTGTCTTCTTTTGATTCTTTTGTGTTTTACAATCATGATGTATGAGAAACAGAAACATATGGTTCTCTGCCAGCTTGGTGCATTGCTGTCATAGATGGATGATGTGGTCGGAGAGACACAGTTGCACACACCATACCACACTCACACAAACACACACATACACACACACTCACACACTCACACGCACACGGGTATATACACACACAGGTACACACATACGCACACACACACACACACACACACACACACACACACACACACACATACACACGTACACATACACCACACACACTCATAATACACACGCACTTACGATCACACATTCACCCGCACTCACACGTACACACAACTCACTCACACGCACATGCGATCACACACATACAACACACGCCTGCATATTCACAATATATGCAATTTTACTGTATTGACCCACTATGGGAAGAAATAAACAGGGCAGTGTGTTTCATTAGCTTCTGTGACTCAAAATAGTTTATATGCATACGTCATAACGGCATATCTCTCTCTCTCTCTCTCTCTCTCTCTCTCT